AAATTATTTAAATTCAGATATCACAAATGGGGATATGTGTTGTAGGTAATTAGACTGAGAGTGATCTAACTCAACCAATGATTTATCTCAGCTTGTGATTGAAAGATATGTCTTAAAATGTTCCTCTGACTATACATGAGTTACACTTTTGAAGGAATAAAATATACAAAATTGCATTTTTGGCTTACTTCTTGTCCCTTACTGGACTGGTCCTCCCCATGTCTTCTAGTTCTCAGAAATGTTTTGTGGTGAAGGTTCTGGAAAAAGTATATCAAGCATTACATAATTACACTGCATTTAAATGTGCTGTAAATTGCTCCCACAACACCAATTTACCTATTTAAGCATTTATTTAAAAAAAAAAACGTTTATTACTAACACTAGTCCAGTAATTACAAAAGGTTTTCAAAATAGTGTTTGTCTGGTTTTATTATATCTGTATCCTTGTTAAGGAAATTACTATCAAATAAGCGCTGGGAAATCTCTCCAGATAAAAGGGAGAAGATTTCCAGCACTGCAATTAAATAATTGATGAAAAAGGTAAAAACAGTATTTTATTATTTTTTTAAAATGACAATGTGTTTATAATACACAGTGCTTTAGCAAACTAAATATAATCCAGTTAAGATTTAAGTCTAAATTAATACTAAACAAAACGACTAACATCCTTTCTACTAAATTACATAAAATCACCTATCGTCGACAGTGAAGTGTAAGTGTCATTGCAGTCTCCTACCTTAAATTCTTTGGCTTCCTGTCTTCTCTGTGGTTAATTATGCTGAAAAGTTAAATGGGAAAATTATTGCATTTCCCTGTAATTGTAAGACATATTAAAGCTGCTGTGTCTCTCAGTATTACATATGTCTTTGTGGCAAAAGCCTGCCTGTAGTGCACCTAAGAGGGTAGATTGTGAAAACATGGCTAATCAAGACATGCATTAATTAGTAATGCATAACTTCAATAATTAAAGAACCTTCCTTCATCTGCATTCAAAAGGAAATTTTAGCCTTGCTCTACAGACACTGTATTTTTTCCAGGGTTAGGTAACACAAAGCAACTGCTGTTGCTGTAGAAACCAGATGTTTCCATAGGAACTGAAGAAGCAAATGGGGACCTTCCTATTTAAGCCTCGAAGTACAAAACCTTAATTAAATAATTAGATACTTCCTATAAGAGTAACACAAGAATCGTGATGATGTCTGGGTTACAAATATGAACCTGATCAGATGTTAAGTGACACAATTAACCATAACACACTTATTTATTATATAAACCAAGCTCTCATTGCCGAGTATATTGAATTAGCAATTTAACATGAAGGAAACACTGCAATCTGTATTTGTAACACTTTGACAGCTGATAATATCACTGTGTTCGTGTGTGGTATTATTTCATGGAACGCTGTACCTTTGAAATGATGTGCAGCATGAATGTATGCGTGAATGTATTTATTTATTAAGTATTAATAGGAACTAATAGATTTTCTATAAACATTAATGGAGAACTATGAGGTGAGTGAAAATCACTCAGCCTCATAGTTCTAGCCGACCTGTGACAATGAAACTGTCACAGGTCGGCTCAGTAGATCGGGAAGTGAGCGAACACATACCGTCGCTCGCTCACTTCTCGATCCTGTCCCTGCAGAGAGCCGTGACTGTCACTCACGGCTCCATGCAGGGATTCCTCCCCTCCCCTGTCCGATCCTCCAGCGCTGACTGGCGGAACAGACAGGGGAGGGGGCGGGTACAGCTGGCTCTGTCTCTAGATAGGTAGAGCCAGCTGTCACGCACACAGCTGGGTGGATCCATACAGTAATGTCAGGATCCGTCCCGGCTTCGGCGTCTCAGTATACTCAGCTAGTTTGTGTCCTCCCATTACCCTTAGAAGAACTATTGGGAAAAGCTCTGACCCCATAGTTCCCCTTTATCAGATTATCCTGTTAACCTAGGTATAGAATGACTAAGCTTTTAATGCTGTTTAAAGTGGCTCTTAAGGTAAAACACAAAAATAAAGTACCTGATCTATGTATGTACAAAGAATGTGAACCCTTTGGATTTACCGCATTTTGCACTCCATAAGGCGCACCGGTACATAGGACGCAGGCGGTTTCTGTGACAGAAGCTGCAGTAAGTGACTGCGGAGACAGGTGGCGCTGTGATCACAGCGCCACAGTCTCAGTGATCACACAGAGCAGACGAAGAGCTACTGCCGCTGCTCAGTTTTAATACAATCTGAATAGATCACTTGTATTAAACTTGCAGCAGCTTCCACTGTACGTTTAGCTCTGCTTTACCAGGGCTAAATGTACAGAAAACTAGGGATTCGCTCCATAAGACGCACACACATTTCCCCCCGCCTTTTGGAGGGGAAAAAGTGCGCCTTATGGAGCGGAAAAATACAGTAACTGGTTTTCTGCAGTAATTTGCCATGCAATGTGATCCGATCCTCATCTAAGTCACAACAATAGATAAACACAATGAGGGGAATGTTTAATGGGTGTGTTCAATAAAGACACAAGCAGTTAGAGTGGTTTGTGTGTTATCAGCTTAGGCACATTGAGGGGAATTTATCAAAACTGGAGCAGATTTTTCACTGCAACCAATCAGCTTCTCTGTCTAATTTTCAAATCTTACCTGAGCAAACTGAAGAGAGATGCTGATTGGTTGCCACAGGCAACTGCTCCAGTTTTGATAAATGCCCCTAAATGTGTTTGAGCTGATAACACACAAACCATTCTAACTTCTTGTGTCTTTATTGAACATACCCATTAAACATTCACAGTGCTGGAGGAAAAAGTAAGTGAACCCATAGACCAATCACTTCAGCAAAAGCAAATTGGAGTCAGTAACTTGCACACCTGGAGTCCAACTAATGAAATTAGTTTGGAGGTGTGGTTTAGAGCTACTTTGATTGATAAAAGACACTCAGTCATTTTAGGATTGCTGTTCATAAGAAGCATCAACTGATGTGAACCATGCCTCGCAAAAATGAGCTCTCTGAAGACATACGATCAAGAGTAGTTGATCTGCATAAAGTTGGAAAGGGATACAAAGCAATCTTAAGTGTTTAGGCATCTATCAGTCGACAGTTAGGCTCCATTCACACATAATGGTAGCGTTTTCTGCACTGGAAAACCGCGCAGAACGAAACCATGAAAACGTTAACATACACGCGGATTCCGCACGTTTGTTGCTATTACTATTTCTGGAACGTGCAGAGTCCACCCATAAAATTGTGCTTGGACTATTTTGTGATTCCAGACCGTGCGGACACCGCAATGGTCTGAACAATGCACATTGCAATGTATTGTTTTTTTATGTTTAGCGAGGCTCCGCGCGCATTCATATAGCCAAATACGTGCGGAAAACCGCTCATGTGTGAATGGAGCCTTAGACAAATCGCTGTGTGTGTCCTGTGGAGTAGAATTCCTTTCACTTCCTGTCTTAAAGATGTAGCAGGAAGTGAAAGGAAATCTCTCTAAGGTGAGGGGTATTCTTTTGTTAGATGTCATAAGTATCCTGGTCCCCACTGGAAGGTTTCCCCTTGCTTCTTGCTTTAGTGACAACTATAAAATGTTGGATTTTCCAATGTTCTCAGGACAAATAAATGGGCGAATCTTCCCAATGGAGATACAGGCCACAATAACCCTTACCCACTCTATCCAAAATGTTAAAATACTGCTCTTACAAACACTATGAACATGCATATTCTCCTTACCAATCAATCATAATATTTCTTTATTTTCTAGCCTGCACTAAAACAAAAATTACTGCTGATTGGCTACTATTGGTATAACTAAGGATGCACCGATGCTGATACTAGTATCGATATCGGTGCCGATTCCGAGTATTTGAGCAAGTACTCGTACTCGCCCAAATGCTCCGATGCCTAGCACGAGTACTTCCGGTATCAGGAAGCCGGGCAGCGCGTCATTACACGCTGCCCAGTTTCGTGATTGACCGGAAGATGGCCTCGTGAGGTAAGGTTACCTTACCTTAGTATTTGTAGCCTGTCATCCCCCGGACCCTCTCCAGCGACTGGGCGAAGGCCGCATTCTCGCTGGAGAGGCCCCGGGGGATGACAGGCTGCACATAATAAGGTAAGAGGGGACTTTCTTGTTAATCGGGAAGCCGGGTGGCGACTCTTTACACGCTGCCCGGCTAATCAGGAAGCCAGGTGGCGAGTCATTACACGCCACCTGGCTTCCTGAATGGGACTGCCGTTACTCGGTAATTGGTATCGGCGAGTACCGAAAACAAAATTATCGGTACTCGTACTTGGTACCAAAATACCGGTATCGGTGCATCCCTAGGTATAACAGATGCCTCTTTTTGGCACTTTTGTTGCCTACCACTGTGCCAGATTAAACTAAATAATCCCACATTAGACAATGATAGGACACAATTCTTGCAGTATTTTAATAATTGCCTAATATTGCATTAAAAGTACAATCTGCTAAACTACAAGATATTTCCAGTTCATTCTTTACATTAGGTAATAGTTTTTATTACAGTTACACCGACATAAAACACAAGGACATAGGAAACAAGAAAATACAACAGAATGAAAAAGTGAATTTGTTGAGATCAATAAAAATTGTACTGTGACAATATAAAATATTGGTAAATAAAGTTATAATTAAACGTTTTAGGGCTTGTTCACACCGTGCCCGGACCAAAACAGTTTTTGTCCGCGCCTGAAAAGCATCCCAATGTATTCCTATAGTGTTTCTGGGCTCTGTTCACACCAGTGCAGTCTGTTCCGGTGCAGGGGAAAAAAATGCTGCATGCACCACTTTTCCTGGTCTGGCACACACCAAAACGTATGTAAACACATACAAACACACTGGAATGCACTTGAAAGCCCATTTTAAGCTAAAACAACCACACCAGAATGTGTCAAAAACACATAATAAAGGCACTGCACTGCGTTTGCAGAAACGCATCCAGATCTGGTCCCGATATGGTGTGAACAAGCCCTCGAAGAAGGATTAACACAATTCAGTTTGGAAATTTCAGTTCAGCTGGTTCCTCATCTATCTCTTGGATGACCTGCAAGTTTTCATTTTTATTTGAAGGCTCTTCAAGATTTGGAAGTGAAACTTTTAAATCTGAAAGAGATTGAGAAAAGAAAACCATACCATTATTTATGAAAGAAAACATTACATAGAAGGGCCTGAAAGCAGATAATGTCCAGTAGAACAAAGGGTTCAGTATTGACTAGCTAGGTCATGGTCTATCCAGGCAGCAGAACAGCTAAGGAAATTATTATTATTATTATACAGGATTTATATAGCGCCAATAGTTTGCACAGCGCTTTACAATATAAGTAAGACATTACAATTACAATGTAACCCCTTCACGGCTTTCTGTTTCCAATTGTAGAGCCGGCTGCCGACTTTACAATAGAAGTGATTCTGGTGACTCAGCTGTCGCCAGATCGCTTATTCAGGCTGGTAAACTGCCTGCCCCTCCTGCGGGCCCTGGACCGGCATCTCAGGTGTTGGCGGGAAGCTGGGGAGGGGAGCAACGAACAGCCGCTCACCGATCTCCTCCCTGTTTTATGGGACCAGGAGCGATGCAGATTACATCACTTCTGAAGCCCAGCTATAAGCTATTGAAGTGCGATCTGCACTTCAATAGCTTATTTAAAGTGGAACAGTAATACTAGGGGTCTTTTGGACCCCCAGCATCACCTTAAAGAGTACCTGTCACTGCCAATATGCTATCACATGGGGGGGCTTGTAAGCCCCCTATGTGATAGCAATTAAAGGAGAACTATGAGGTGAGTGCTTTTCACTCACCTCATAGTTCTAGGCGACCTGTGACAATGAGACTGTCACAGGTCGGCTCAGTAGATCGGGAGGTGAGCGAACACATACCGGGTTCGCTCACCTCTCGATCCTGTCACGGCTCTCTGCCGTGACAGGGGGAGGGGCTGGATTCCCCTCTCCCCGCTCCGATCTGCCAGCGCTGACTGGCGGAACGGACGGGGGAGGGGGCGGGTACAGCTGGCTCTGCCTCTAGATAGGCAGAGCCAGCTGTCACTCACGCAGCTGGGCGGATCCCGTCGTCTAAGTCGGGATCCGCTCCGGCGTCTCAGTATACCGCGAGCTGTAGCTCGCGGTATACTGAGCTTAGGGTAACGGGAGGACGCTAGTTTGTGTCCTCCCGTTACCCTAAGGAGAACTATGGGGAAAAACACTGACCCCATAGTTCTCCTTTAAAGTAAAGGAAAAAAACAAAAACAGTATTGAAAAAATGTTAAAAAAAAAAAAGTAAAATTAATTAAAAAAATGTTTAAGTCCTCTGCCCCCACGAGCATGCGCATCATAACGTAAACACACGTCAGGTGAGCCTATGTATGAAAACGATGATCGCGCTACATATGTTGGGTATCGCCGCACATGCCAGAGTGAGAGCAATAATTCTAGGTCCAATATTTATGCGAATCTCTAAACTGATGACTTGTAGGGGCCTTTAAATCGTTCCCTATGGACTTTTTTGGGGTACTGAATTTTGTTGCAGCTTCACAGACACACACAATTTTTTACCTCGACATGTTGGGTATCTATTTACTCCTTGTAACCTCATATTTTATAAAAAAATAAATAAAATCAATGGGTATTTTATAGTATTTTTGGGCACTAAATTTAATTTAAATGCATTTTTCACTAAATGTTGGGGTTTGAAAATACCTTGCGCTAATATCACGCAACATAAAAATTTGCAACCTCCACCATTTTATTCTACAAGTTCATGGCTTTCAGAAAATATATAATGTTTGGGAGTTTGAAGTAATTCGCAGGCCTAAAATGTGGATTATATCATTGGGGCAAAAAACGAGAAAAAAAAAAAAAGGCCTCGGTCACAAAGGGGTTAAATAAATACATATAAATAAAACTGGTATACTTCAGTTGTGATGCTTTTTTGGAAAGCCATTATCTGTAGTGGGATTATCTTTTTGCTGTAGACTAGACAGCTAGGTGTCCTTATAATAAATATGCTGTACGGACCTATCACTTAACGTTACACCCATAGGCACATGTGCAAAACTTCCCTTACCTGTCTTGTTTACTCTAAAAAATGTTTTCTTGTCAGTGGCATAACAATAGCCATAGCTACTCACACTGCTGCTATGGTGCCAGGGGTAGAAGGGGTCTCTGGGGTAGAAGCACTGAAGTCAGACCTAGGGATTGTCTAGTCACAGAAACCCCTCTGTGTAATAGAAGCATTTGCTTATCTATCTTAGCAGTGTAGATGTATTTCCCTCTGAACCATCTACAGACTGAAATGAACCCTGTACAGCATATAAACGGTATATATTGCCAAGGAAAATATTTTTTTAACATTTTTGCCCAAGCACTAACAGTCATCATGTTTCTGAATAGCAACTCTCTCAGCTCTGCTTCACTGAACTTACTGTCCAGAACAAGATATCAAGGTCCAGCAGATATCCATTTACTAGCTTGTAGGAGGGAGGAAGAAGGAGCAGGGGAGTGGCTTGCTTTGCTGTGTCTGTGTGTTTGTGGAGACACACACAGTTTACTAGCACACACACTCCATAGGACCCTACAGGGGAAAGAAGCCACCCTAAAGCAGGAAAAATAAGGCAGCTATAACATTTAGGGTTGGTAAGCTGCAATATAGTATTTTTTTGGTTTGGGGTTTAGATACTCTTTATTTGGAAGTTGTCAGGATTGAAATATGGGACATGTACTTACTGACTTGTTTTTGAAAGGTGCAAGTTCCAAGGTTGTCATTTGTAATCCCTGCCTCACTACTTGGTAAATCCCCAAACTGAAACAAGCTTGTGCAAATCAAGTGCCAGGACAATCAGTACACACATAGCTATCCTGGGACAACATCTCACCAGCTTTTAGAGGATTTGGATGACAACCACAGCGAATGCACTAATGGCATATTCCTATTATGACAGGATTCTATTAAATAAAATACAGGTTAAAAAACCGGAAGAATGATTAAATGTTGAATGGCTTGGTTTTATTATTTATTATTGAGAGGGCTACAAAAAAAAAATATATTTTCTATTTCTTAGGTACATATGAAATGTTGTATTTTTATTTTAAGTATGTTTTAACTAGCCGGTATAGCTTTATTTTCACATTTTATCTATCTCTTTAAAGCCTGTTTAAAAAAAAACATGTTTACAGACTTCAGCAACTGAAGCTAGACTTAAATAGACAAATAAAAGACTCATTCTTTATCAGATGGCTCACTTCAAAATTACAGTTTCTGTAACTCTTTTCTGTCAACCAACTTATAATTTAGGTTCACGGGCCTTTCCATACACACTCAAACATGTTTCTATAAATTGTATCTTATAGAGTTATTTGTTAGGTGATGTTGGGAAATTGTGGCCTATAATATTGACTTATTGGGGTTGATTTACTAACCTTATAAACACGCCATGAACAAGTATACACCTCTGTAGTGTGTTCCCTCCCAGCATGATCTATTGGTGGAACCTAGACACCTTTGTAGTGTGTACACACCGAGCAGGTGTGTTGTGCAAAGCCCTGCATGAATTGCAAGGTGATGTTGTGTAAATTAGCTCTACATTGTGTTGCTTGCGTTGATGAATGCAGGAATGTAAATGCATGAGCTAACCATTTTTGTCTAAACTGTGAAGCAGCATTATATATGCATCATGTGCATGATTTTTCCATATATGGCATTAGTGGAAATATGCTTTTAGAGACTTTTTGGTTAATAAATACGTTTTGCTGTGTAAAAATCACACGCACCTAGTGCGTGCGTGTGTTTAGGTTAGTAAATCACCCCCATTATGTCATACAGATCTTCACACTTTCAGGTATCAGATTAAAAGGCGAATTACATACCAGCAATTCCATTTTCTTGAGTGTCCTCTATTCTAGTTTGTTCTTCTTGTTTGATGATCTGTTCTTGTTTGATGATCTGTTCTTCTTGTTTGATGATTGGTTCTTCTTGTTTGATGATTTGTTCTTCTTGTTTGAAGACCTGTTCTTCTTGTTTGATGATTGGTTCTTCTTGTTTGATGATTTGTTCTTCTATTACAATGGATTGTTCATCTAGTGGTATTCCAAAAGCAATATGTTTCTCCTGAAATAAAATCATTTTATTACAAAATACATGTTATCACTTTATGACTGGTATTCATGGAGTATCAGGCTGAACTGACACCGAAAAACTCTTATTCCTGTACTGCCTTCTGATGTCACAAAGAATTCTGCCACTCAGTGTATTGTGTTATAAAATGCCTCTTATCTCCAGTATATACACTATATCAAGCATGTCATACTTCTGGGGATATGGGCAGGGCCCTCCTTACCATCTTGTCTTGAATTGTATTGTGATTGTAATGTCTTCCTTATATTGTAAAGTGCTGAGCAAACTGTTGGCACTATATAAATCCTGTATAATAATAATGATATGGATGTAGCCATCTTTCTCCTTTGTGGCCCCCACCCAGTTAAAGAATTTATTTGAATGAGATCCCAACTGTTCTCATGTAGATAAGGCTGTGCCCCTTTAGAAACATTTGCAGCTAAACAGTTAAAGTGAATGTGCTCCCAGACTAAAGAATTTCCATATTCTGAAGGAGCAGTAAAACAAGCCCTCAATCACCTCTGTAGCTATAGGCATTATTGAGAAATTCATTTTCAAATTTCACAACAGGGGCACAGAAATCTCAACTTTTTTCTATGAGAGCAGATCTTGGCAGCCTGCTAGCCCTCTAATCTAAAAACATAACCGGTGTTTGCAAGCTGTTAGAACCTGGCTCAAACCTGACCTTAGAGTCTTTGTCGTGATTTTTAAGTTTCTTTGAGAATTAATTACTTCACAGTGCGATCAGTTAGAGAGGTGAGTGAGAGCTTGTAAAAGTCTCCTTTCTACTTGCTTAGAATATGTACATTTCTTTATTGGTCATAGCCTCCTAACAGGAACCTTAGCACAGGAATCAGTTTTTATGAGCATAAACGTAGTGTAATACACCCTGCAGGCAGATCTAGGATCGCAACTGTGGAGAGGGGGTTGGAGTACGGTTTTGTCAGTAGGCGGTCTCTTTTATACTCTCTCAGCAACTTAGAGATGGGTATGAGACCGGTAACATCATATAACCGTGGATGTTGGATAAGGGGTTCGGAACCCCAAAGAAAGACTAACAGTGTAACTAGCAGCAATATGCCCAGAGGTAGCACCTGTCAGTTCTGTATAAGCAGCTGAGTTATACGTTCAATCACTTAGAAGGTGTGGGAAATGTTTACTGATTTTAATCAAAGGCTGATTACAAGTCTTCCCCTTGATGTAGCAAAGCAACACTCTCCACACTATAGCAAGACAACTCTCTTCAATATTTAGCAAGCGTGGCCCTTTGTAGTAATAGCATAATAAGGTAGCCCACTATAACCCAGTTCTTGGAAGTTCTTATTGTCAAGGTTTCAACAGACAGGTTACTATGAGATGTAGTAATAGTATTGGGCTGGAGACAAGCCTTGCCCCCTGAAACCAGGTTACTTGCGGTTATGGTGCTGCCAGTGTCCTGTGGAGCCGATCCTGTGAATACTGCGTGGCTCGGTTTGCCTTTAGTGGTGCTGGGGGGTTCGGGTGTAGAGTCCCTTGGTCGGTCTGTGGATGCAGGGACGTGAATCTTCAGCGTTCACTGTCACCAACAGTTGGACGCCGAAGATTTGGCTAGCCGCGGCTTAAGAAGCTTGTGCGCGTGCGCGGGAAGGGGGAGCTGAGACGCGCCGTGCGCGTGCGCGGGAAGGGGGAGCTGAGACGCGCCGTGCGCGTGCGCGATCCCGTCTCGCGGCGCCGGAACGATCTGCGGTAAGTTTCTTACACATGGGTAGAGGCATTTTTGGTGAACAATCTCTATGCCTGAGCATAGACACATGTAGAGTCACCTTTTGCCTGTGATTACCTTGCCTTGTAATTCCATAGCATAGATTTATTACAATCATTTAATAATTAAAGTGGAATTATGACAAATATGAGAAGCCAAAGTAGATGAGAATACAGATGTGTGATTCTCTAATGGAACTGAAATCTGAATGTGCACAAGATGGTAAATTTTGGTATTATTAATTTGCCATGATTCAAACATTGGCATGCACATATACACAGTGATAAAATAAAAACACCACTTGTCTGTATTGTTTTATGTTTGCCAGTCTGCAGGAAAATTGTCATGCCTTCATTTATTTAGATTTTCAATTCTGTTTACCCAGTTTCCTGTCAGTGGGAGTTCTATTACAGGCAAACTAACATGGAAAAAGTAAGAAATACATTGCATGTTTGGAGGGAAACCTTGTAACAATAACTTTCTATCTTACTGAAAGATACAGTTTGATGGTAGACATGATTGACAGGTCCCTTGTGTGAATAACATACCACAAAAAAGAACACAGTACAAATAACCAAGAGAATTCCTAATCAGTTGTTAATTCTGTAATACATTAATCCAACCTGCCACTCACATTGATTCCAGTGCCTAGTTAAAGTGATTTGATCCTGACAAACAGAGTTTCAACCACAATACTGGCCCCAGTTGTACAAATTATTACTATTATGTGTCATTATTTTTATTGATCAGTTAATAATGACTGCCTAGACTAATGTTTTTAATTAAAAAGCTTGCTGTTTAGGTTTAGAAGCTAACTTTTTATTTTTTTTACAAAAAATAAATTAAAAGTTAATTACATGTCAGCAATAAATGTGAAAATAAAACATTTACTCTAATAAATGGAAATATATAAATTTAAAAAATGTGTGAGCCGGGATTTCACCCAGACCATAAAGATTTGCCTGATCTTAAAGGAGAACTACGGGGGTTAGGGCTTTTCCCCATAGTTCTCCTTAGGGTAACGGGAGGACACAAACTAGCGTCCTCCTGTTACCCTAAGCTCAGTATAACGCTAGCTACAGCTCGCGGTATACTGAGACGCCTCAGCTGAAGCGGATCCCGACAATTATGTCGGGATCCGCTCAGCTGCGTGACTGACAGCTGCCTCTGCCTATCTAGAGGCAGAGCCAGCTGTACCCGCACTGCCATGTCATTTCACAGGGCCTGCCTTCTGAACTACAGAGGTGCCGTAAGGCAAGAAGTCTTAGGAGGTACAGTCAGTATAGGAAATGCCCCACATGTGACATCATCACTGCTTGCAATCAGCAATGTAAAATAGGATATGTAGTCCTTGGAAATCAAAAGTAAACTGCATGAAGGGAATTCAGGAAGTTGTTGGAAGATATGTACAGCAGATAGCCAGTGCTCAAAACATGAAAGTGGATTTTTCAAATATGCTTTTATAGGATTGTCAAAAATAACTATCTTTTGTATTGCTATTACAATGCTGATGTTATAAAATAAAGTGTATGCTGTGTCATTAGATCTTTAATTTTAGCAGTTTTCACCTACATGAATTTTGATCTATTTTCAGCTCCTGATGACCTTTGTGGAGCTTCATACTTCATTGCCTGTCTTCCTCTTCACTGTATGCTTGTTTGCCCTTTACTACATTCACTCATACACAGTCCAGCTGCATTTGTAAGGTATCACACTTGGGGTGGCACCCGGGCGGCAATCGCAAGTACCTTTTTTGTGACACACAAGGCGTGGCTTTTTTAGCGGCGATTGTGTTCACTTGCACAGGTGGAATCGCGGCGGGAAAATGCACGATCCGCCCGACGCGACTGTGGTGCCATTAGAAAATAATTGCACCCACAGCGCGATCGGTTCACGCCTTGGCGACTCCCGACAGTGAAAAACCTCCCCTTTTTTCTCCAATAAAAAGATGTAATTCTCCAGTGGGAGGAGTTTGGGATTGAACCCAAAAAAACGGCAGCGCTGTTACATGTATTAGGAGAGATCTATCTCCTTGCAAGCTTTTTTTTTTTAACCATTTATGTTTGTGAGTACATTGTAATATATTAAACCTTATATGATTTTACGGAGTATACTATGGAGTGTCCTGTTTTTGTCTCCTTTTTTTACAATTCGTTGGCACTGTTTGGGAAAGTTTCCACCACTGGAGAATTACATCTTTTTAGCAGAGAAAAAAAAGAGGACGTTTTTCACTGTCTAAACACCGGGTGTCTTCCCGCCTGAGATGGAAAAGGGAAGTGACGTTTCCAGACCTTTATAACGTAAGGTCGCATGTAGAGGTGAGAGTTATTCTATTGGGAGTTGAAGGTGGAGATCACAAGGAACACAAATGAATGATTTAATCACTGGCTAATTACATTCACCTTTTTGCTGGGTGCACAATTCACTTTATTCTGCATGATATATTTATCACAAGTGGATGTTCATATGCATTGTGCATGTGTGACTAAAGTGGACTAATATCACCTTGTTCAAGTATTTAATCTTGTTACTACATTTGAGTTGATACATTTTGTTACATCATTTGAGGCACCATAAGTTTGATACAATTGTATGTCATATAGCAAATATAACATACAACAATAACATACTGGATTTAGATATAGAACACATTTGAGAGCGCGGCACAATTTACCTATGCCTATTATTCCTTATTGTCAGCCACCATGCTAGGCCCAAGATGCTACTAGTGCTGATGTTGTGGTGTTGCAGTAGCCAAATACAAATTAGAAGATCATTTTCTTTTTGTCTTTTTCTTGTTTATTATTACCACCATCCTTCTTTCTGGGGTCAGATAACTGATAATGCGGATGCTGCTCTAGTGTTCATGCATCTTACCCCCTCAAAAAATGTGACAGTTTTCTAAATGTCAATTCTTACATGTCCTGTATCAACAGTCCAAAAATGGAAAGAAAAAAACACGATTCAATGCAGATAATCATGCAGTGAAGCAGCATGGGAATTCAAATTTGGTGGGTTATCAGCAGATTTGTAGTAATTCATTTCTAATAGTCAAGCATTTAAAGTAATAATTGGGTAAGGTTCATTTCCTCTCCCATATCCCATACCTTTCTCACTAGTATGGGCTACCACACAATAGTAATGCGTGGTAGAATAATACTGTATTCAAATGCATTTTGGGGGTAATGTATGAAAAACTGATGCAAGGACATTTACAATGAATAGAACAGATTTCATTTTCACTTGCTAGGAAATTAAACAACAAATGCAATTCATTGGTATACCTACAGAGGTGGCTGGACCTGGGCACCTAGGGCACATGCACCAGGTCTTCTGCCCGGTGCCCCGGGTCAAACAACACCTACCCTGTTTATTGGCAGTGTGAGGCAGAGTGATATTCCCCCCATGGTGCCTGCATAAACCCTTTAATTTGAACACCAGTTCTCCAACTTTCTCTTACTGGCCACCAATGTTCAGGGGGAACACACTGTAGAGCCAGCAACGAACAAGGGCACTTATTGCAGACCATGACTTTGCAAGGTGCTCAACACTGACCACCAACCGAATAGAAGCGCTCACTACTGACCACCAACAAAGCAGGGTTCTCACTGCAGTCCACCAATGAAACTGGGGTACTTTCGTCTGACCACCAATGCCATGGTGGCACTCACCACTGACCACCAATGAAGAAGGAGCACTTATCATTGAACAGCACTGAATGGCAGCACTTACTATTGATCACCAACAAAATAGAGACATGCACTACTGAACACCAAAGAAACAGAAGGACTCCCCATTGAACACCAACTTAAGGCGGCACTCATCACTGAACACCAAGTAATGGAGAAACTCCCCACAAACCACCAACATACATTGGAACATACCAAATATGTCCAACATAAAGCAGGACCTATAACCCCTAACAACCAACATAAGGGGGGCACCTACCACTGACCACCAACGTAAGGGTGGCCCTACACAGTCAACTATGCACAGTGCATGCCCTTGACCAATTAATTCTGTAGGCTGTGCTGTACATTACCTATACACTGTTCCTGTAAACTGAACTGTACATTGCACACTCCAGACTGCTGTACTCTGTATGCTGTGTTCATTTAACAGTACAGGCAGCTGTATTCTGCAAACTGTGCTCTACATTACATAGTTCTGACCTCGGTGCACTATGTTGTGCATAAGATACTCTCAACCAAAGTGTTTATTGTCTTATCAGTTGCTGGTTTCTAAGTAGTTCCCAAATGTTTAATGAAGTTGTACTTTAAGGTAGACCCAGGGCAAATGTTAATTCTATGTTTAAAGTTTTATTTTTTATATCCTTTGCACTGATGTTTATGTAAGTCTGAGAGATTTGTGTTTTTATTGGTTTTCAACAAAGTACAGAGTGTACAATATACAAAAACCAATAGGCATATTTTGCGGATACCAGTAGTGTGACAAATGTGTGCGATGTATACAGTGAGTAGGCTTCTCTTGCTCAAGTTTTAAAACATCAGCTCTACATGTAGGAATTGTGAACCACTGTAATAATTTAATGGAATTTTACCTTAATTAATTCAGAGGCTGCTTGTTGTAATATTTCCCTTGCATCCTCCAGAATATCAACCTGGGTATGCACCTTCCAATTTCCATCTCTGAATTGCACTGGCATGGAGTAAACCATTTCCTCTGGAAGATCAAATTGGCCTAAGAAAGCAAAACACTAAAAGGTTGGTTAGATAATATATGCAATATTTGTTTCAGCTTCTAAAAATTGTCTTGGTTGTCTCTGGAGCTGAAAACCTGGAGTCAGAAATGTTGTTACACAAACCACTGCATGTGTTTTATACTTCTCGTGACCTAAAAACATAGAAGTCACTTACCAACCCTTAAAATATATGTTATGTGAGAAATATGTTAGCTGCTATTACTGTCCTCCTGAAAATACTAGCTGTCTGGCTATCCTAAAACAAGCATGCAGCAATTGAAAGTAAGTATTCATTATCTCTGGACTTTTTCTAAGTTGGAGACTCCACAACTTAGAAACAAATAAAAACACATCTTCAAATATACAGACTTCCACGAAAAGTCCAGTGACAGGTTGACAGGCTGGGGAGGGCCTTCTACTGAATTCAACACTGTTTGGGCCAAACATAGGCTGGGACCACAGTGCAGGAGTGAGAAGGTTTTAGGACCCAATCCCACCAGTGCACTGACATCCCAATACACCTTCCCAATGCACTTATGTACCAGCACACCTTAAAGCATGGTACCACACTATTATGTATTGTGATGGGCTGCACTCACCAAACTTACTGAATGTCTAATTTTTGGTGCAAAGCAAAGCACTTTAATGCAATGCACATTAATGAGTGAGATAACATGTGTTAAACACACCTCAGAGGACTGTCCTGGTGTGAAAAGGCCCTTACAGCAAAGCTGCATAGTGCTAGGCAGGCCACAGAAGGAAGAACTCCAAGAGATTGCACTTTATAAATGCTACTAAGCACAAAGATTAGTTACTTTAGACATCTTGACTTTGTCACACAAATATAAATCAAGCTTATATTAAAAAATATAAGAAGAGGATCTGGGCTGTCACATTTGTTTCCTACTTTGCATAGGTGGAAGAGGTCTAACAGACCATTCAAAAATAAACAATAACTTGCCCGTGACATGTAACTCATTTTGACTACCTTCACTAAGGACACCAAGTGAAACAATCTCTCCATTGCTTGAATGTTGTTGCCACCAGGACAGAACACTGGCAATGGAATGAGCTGCAGACAAACCAGAACGATGGAGCTTTCGATTTTTCCACTCATTTACTAGGTCATTTTTCATCCATTTTCTGCATTAAATTGTAAAAATGTTATAGGTTTAATGTAACATTTATTATAACGCTGTTTGTGCATTTTCTATAACAAAGAGAAACAAGAGTACAAACAATTGTAAAACATGTTCCCTTATTTTATTTTTTTTACACGTTTGTTAAAACACTTGTAGCCACTTTTGAGCATCACCTGCACTTGCTTAATATGGTTATAGAAATAAAAGCTGAAGAAGCTTTTAGAAATAGAAAAATGTTGCACGGAGCTTTCTCCTCCTCCAAAAATGTATAAAAGCAGGACATTAAATACATTGTTAAAAAGAAATTAGTACAGTACCCCCCAAAAAAAGGAATTAGGTTATTATGTGTTTTCACCTGTTAAAAAGGCTTTAGAAGATGTGTGGTAGTGCTGGAGCAATGAAAATGGAAATACGTTTTAATGTATATATTGAAAAGTTTGTTCTCCTTAAAGAAGAACTCCAGGGGAAAAATGCAAGGGATAAATGCTCATGTTAAGTGTTCATTTTTGTCTAGGTTAAAAATTAATATGTTATGCTCACCTGATCCTTGGATCCAGCCGGCTGTGACAGATCTCCCTCCACTGCAGCGATGGTATGTCCCTCAGTGTCCTCGCGTCCTATACACTGTATAGAATGTGATGACTTGAGGACTTCTTAGACTGCTGAAGCAGAGGGGGAGCAAGGTGGCTCCATGGATCAGGTAAGTATAACTTTTTTTTAACCTAGACACAAATGAACACTTAACCCTTGCAGTGTGAGGGTAGCCCCCCTGCAAGGATTAAGATTTGTTTTTCCTGGAGGTCTGCTTTAAGGAGGTAAACCAGTGGTGTGTGTGGACCTGGTTCTAGTTCTAGACTGCTACCTCCCTGACAAATCACTCATCAGACAATCAATTCCTGGATGTGTGGTTAGGAGTGCCCAGTATGAACAATCATCTTGCTGAATCAGTCAGTTACCCCCAGGAAATGCTGACAATTCTATTCCTGTTCTAGCCTTAATTCAAGCTTTTTAGTAAAGTCCATCCTGAATCAATTCAAACCCTTAAGGAGGAAAGGCTGTTCCCCGAAATGCGTTGGTGGTATTTAATGTTCTTAAACAATACATATTTTAAATAAATTACAAAGTGAATGTTTGCACTAGGCACTTCTAACCATACATCTAGGAATTACTTTTTAATAGGTCAGTATTCACAATCGGTAAATAATTCATTCATTTTTCATTATGTTATAGAAAAAAAATAACGGTTGATGGCTTAAATCCTTGTTAGTCATTTCACCTTAGATTACTGATAATGCTTTATGTAAAGCTAACTTGCATTGGTAATAACAGTTTCAAGATACATTAAGTATTGAAAAATAGCAGAAGAATATTTTTTACAATAAAACTAAGATTGGACATCTTTTTTATTTAGAATTTAGTTCAATGCCATAAAAGTTTCAAATATTTTTGCTGATTAATTAATGAAAAATAGTATTATATGACAATTATATCACAAGATCATGATTTCTTTGCACTATAGACAAATTTCAAGGACTACATTTAGGGCGCTGATTCAGTTGTAAAGATGCTTTATATGTCATACCACTTGCTAAATGAGAAAAAAGCATGTAATATTAGGCATGTTAAACTATAGTCATCATGAAGTAATTAATGTTGTCAAATTACAATCATTACATACCTGTCAAACATCATATCAAGCAAAGGGCGTGAGTAACTAGAAGGACCCCATATGGAACTGTCATACTTGTATATCTTTGCTTGATTCAGATCAAGGTGGAAAATACCACTGATGTTACCCCAAACTATCACATCCTTTACAACTGTCAGAGATAGATAAGAAAAAACACATTTAGCAAAAAGGCCCCAAAGTTCATCACTAGAGAAGAGAGCACTCAAAGCAGTGCTGATAATAGAAACAAAGAAGAGTCCTGAAAGGGATACCAATTCAAACAGTCATTTCCACACAATGAAAACCTACTTGAATTTGAACACAGGCATCCAAGCTCCTGATGTCTTTGTTTTACCCCCGCCCTTCAATACTAGTGACAGTTTTGAGGCATACAACTGGAAACTCAAAGTTGGCACCATAAGGTCTGTATTTTAAAAAATGTTTGAAAGTTTATACGTTTACATCCTGCTTTGTTTTTTAAACTATTTTACAAAACCGTTATTTTACAAATACATATTTTTGTGCTTTGTGCTTTGCACACAGGTGCTTACACGGGACTTCTTCTGCTTGCTGCTGCAAGTGGGCAAAACAAGTAAAGGATTAGAAGTTGTGGGAGCCAGCAATAAAGTGAACCTGTTACTTTCCCTCCTGGGGTAAAGCACAGATTCACTTTAAGAACAAAGTGTATACATGATACTGAGTTGAAAAAGCACGCTGAGTTTCATCAATGTAGCTCCACACAACCTAATACACAGCACCTGCTATACAGCCACCGACCACCTGGCTCAATTACTGTACTGCAGAATAGTCCTTGGCAGTAGGTATCTCATGAAGGGAATCATATTAACCTCCAATTCTACTTCTCAGGAAATATTATCAAAACCAAGGGGTGTAAACTCTACCTTTACTGCTATTTTAGATTTAAAGGAGTAGCAGTGGACTGAATTCCGCATAGATTCCAAAGGTGAGATTTCCCACAATAGTTTGTATCTCTGCCCTCTCCCTGACCATAATAAAATATATACTCTCTACATTGTTTAGTCCACATTATGGAGACCCCATCATCATTTGGCTTTGTAATGCCCGGACAGCTAGGTGGTAAGGAACATTTTCATAGTGATATTTATCAATGGGGTCCCCGAGAGAAATAAGATCCAGCATGTATTCAAGATCCCCAACAGCCATGCAGAACTTAATTGGTTTTGGTTGGATTTGGCTTTTAAACAGTGCATAAAATTCCCCCACCAAGCAAGAATTGAAGTGCTTGCTATCCACACGTACGTCTTCCTGTTGATTCTAGACTTTTGTTCATCATAGTTTACAAAACAGTAATACGCACCTGATGAATTTACATTCAGCTTTTTTGCAATCTGAGCTTTTGCCTCAAACTCCAGTTGTGTTGGTAAAGCCACTATATGATGATTATTGATGGACGGTGCATTTTTTAGCATCACAAGGGCTTTAAGGTTTGCATAGGTACTTCCTGACACAACCACCTTCACTTCCTTGTTTGCATTCTGGTCAATGAGACTGCCATACTGCACACACTCTTCTGTGACCATTTTAATGTACTCCTCTGGGGACTGATCATCTTTGGGAAGTATATCATCAAGGACAATTATAAAGTCAGCTTGGAGAAACACTTCATCAGCCATCGTGTGCAATGTAACTTGTCTTATACATGGAAAAGCTAAGTCTTCCACCTCCATTTTCAGTCCTTGTAGAGTATCCATGGATTGGCTGTTGTCTAATAAGTGTAACCAAATAGCTTTCTCTGGACCAAAAACTTCACCAGTAGCTAAAATAGGTACTAAACTGTAGCAAGTAGGCATTGAGGCACTAAAATACATAAAAGTTACCATGTATACAAATTAACATTCAGGAAATATTAATTATTATTATTAATTATAAATATATTGAAATTTAATGACATTGTGTATAACATTTACATGCTCTTAATATGATTGCCTACCGTAATAGACCTTAATTATTACAACATTAATATTCATATAACATAAACCAAATAATATGTGAAGTATTTTAAAATGCAATTTTTGCTATTTCTTTTTTAATTAAACATTTTCTTTTTCAACATGCCTTGCATGAAAAGCAGATCTCCTAGCTCACCAACCCATCATGCAAACCCCTAAGTAAGCCTTAAAAAAAAGTTTAAATAAAATAGGACATATATTTTCTTATTTTTGAAGCAAACATAGCTCCGGCTGATCCTTCGGCTAGCGTCGGTTGCGGGAGCACTTCGGTTCAGTGGAACCGAAGGGCTGCTGTATGGGCTATTCACTATAGCCCGTACAGCTCCCGAAGGCGGCCGAGCGCCTCAGCCGAGCCGAACGCATATGCTTCGGCTCGGGTGAAACGAAGTGACAGCCGAACGCCTTGCAAATGACAGCTGAGATGCCTGAGATCACACGATGACAGCTAAGATCTCTGAGATACCGTGACAACACGGCCAGCTCCACCAAGTTGTTATTCATTGGCCGGGACCTGCTTGAAGACTCTGGCAGGTCCCGGCCAATAGAAAACAGTTGGGCAGAGTTAGCTGTCACTGCTAGCTCCGCCCCAATTGTTTTTTTTGTTTAATGTATTATTTATTTAAATTGTTTAAAAAAAATTCTACTTTTTTCCCCCATTGATTTCCTATTCTGCACGGTACCACGAAGGTACCGAGCAGAATAGCCGAGCCGAATACCGCTCGGAGGCATTCGGCCATTCACTCACTGCCGTTCGGCCCCCTAATGAGAATGGGGGTGAAAGGCAGTGAGTAAGCTGCCGGAGCTTTGGCTCAGCCGCTCCAGATGTTGGATCGGCCAAGTCGAACTCCTTCTGCACTTTGGCTGGTGCCAGTCTTTGATCCAGCACAGATTCCCGTCTCTTCTTGTCCCACGGTGTCTGTCTGACCTGAATGCTCTCGGCTATGTGCATTCAGCTCCACTGTGTCTATCCTCTTCGCGGAAGATCTCTACTGCACATGCACCAGCCCCATCTCGAGTGGCCGTGCAGGATGAAGCTTCAGATCTTCAGACGGGAACGAGCGGCGGAGACACAGGTAACTTTTTACCTTTTTGGTAACTTTTTTATTTTTTCAAATGTTTTTGCATATATATACTGCTTGCTAGCAGTAGATATATGCAAAAAAATGAGGGTTTCATTCTACTTTATTTGACCAAGGACAAATGTGGGTCCAGAGGTTACATAGGTTGAGAACCACTAGTCTAGACTATCATCACACCATCATCCACCCTCTGCTCTCCAACTTCTGTAATGTACCTAAACATCTTCCCCATCTGGTAACTCTCCTTTGGCTGACAGCAGTTTAAGATATGTTTAAATAATATTTAATGTATTTGTGCATCAACATAAGTGGCCTGAAGTTCTGCTTCTAAAAAATATAACAACATACAGTATTTGACGAGACATGGTTTTGATTTTATTTCCACAAAGAACCCAAGGTTTGAAATCCTGGCTTCCATACCTTGTGATCCATACATGTAGAGGGTTAAATTGCCTTTTTATATCATCTTCTTCAATCTGTAAATTAACATGAGTTTCCAAGTTTTCTGTTGCAATATTCTTCATTAAATCACTCAACATAGCTGAACGTACATTGTAGTATTCCTGCAAAATAAGTCAACAGAATAAAAACATATAAAAACACAGGAGAATGCACTAAACCTGTGACTCCAGAACCATACATCAGGCACCTCCAAGTGCCTGCTTGCATCATTGTATTATAAGTGGAGTAATGCAACTATCAACTAGAGTCACTATGGTAAACTCTGGGCAGCAACCCTCTGCCATTAAAGCTTTGCTATTGGCTAATGAGGCCCGGCATTGGATATTACCAGAAATGTGATGGGAGGTAGCAGCAGGTAAGCAAAAACTTCATACCAGAAGTATGGTCCATCACTAATAACAGGGTGTCCCCGGATGTAAGAATCCCAGAGTGCTCTGAAGATGAAGATATTATTCTGTGAACCTGGGGTCATTTTCAAAGGTAAGGTAACTCAAAGGCTTAGGTACGTATGTGCAACGCGTTAAAGAGACTAACACTGAGTAAACACTTTGCGAATCAGAAGTGACACCTACCACATAATCATTTATGATGCAAATTTCACCTTTCATATAGTTGCTGAATTTTGCATTGTTACATGTATTTCATATACAAAATGTAGCCTATCCCTCTTAGAGTTTAGCATCCCTGGCAAATAACGTTTGAGTCTACTGTTTTAACACATTCTATGTCATGTTTATTTATTCAAGAGGAACCTATTGTATATTTTCATTGAGCACATACAGTAGTTTAAATTATTACTGTTTTCCTGATGGTATTTTTATGGAATCTTCACATTTGTACACACTTCCAATTCCATATTTTCTCATATATATTTGTAGGTTCTGTTTGAATGACAACTCATAAACATCCCTTCAATTCAACTGAATGCAACATTTCAGCAATAGAATGAATGTATTTCTTTCAAACTGTATGACAGATTGATAAAATTGCACTGAAAAGCATAAAGGGAAGAAATAAAAATGCAATGCAAAGCAATATTATTGAATTTTACTCACATTTACTATTCCCCCAGAATCAACAACCATAACCTAACCTTAAAGTGTGTGTAAACACTAACAATGAGCTTCTCTTCTGCTCCATTTGGGCTGTTCAATATACTATTAAAAACATGTTGTTTTGTCTGTTTGATGAGTGCAAGGGAGATTTCCCTTCACCTTTTGTCCCCTCTTAGACAGTTGCCAAGTGAACAGGTATGCCCAATGGAATGGGCATATTTACATATACTCAGAGCAGGTCTCATTCTATCCTCCATACTAGTCTAAGGTGCTAGAGAGGCAGATAAATATTGAACACAAATAAAAACTAAATTTTAATATACAGTAAGTAATGTTTTTATTTCTATATGATGTTTATTTACCACTGTTGGTCCCACAAAAGTGGCATAGAAAACATATTTATGCAATTAAAATCTACAAAGAATGCAACTTAAATAACAATTAGTTATCTTACCTGTGCATGTTCCATGAACTCATTAAACCCTCCAAGCAGCAATCCCTTGCCTCCTCGATCCAATAACTCCCTCCATATTATGGGAGAGCACCTATGCTTCCATCCATTGTTCAGGCACAATTTTGAGATCCATTGCTACATGACCAGTAAAAAAGTCTCATAAATAAAACATATCAGAAGAGTATTATATTTTTTTACACTTGATCCAAGCCATTCCTCTTGCTTTGGTACTCCCATCTAACAGTACTTGCAAACAGAGGCTGTTGTAAGCTCTTTACTACTCCCTTTCTTATATCACACCTCTCTAGCTCTTGCAGCTGTGAGAACTGTCTAAAATCCACGTTACTTACCTTCACTTTAACTTCCATGAATTCTCCTCTCCCTATTGGCTGGAATTACTTTTTTTTCTGTAGGGGTTGTATGGTTCAGAGGCAAACACTCCAGTCAGAGTAAATAGCCGGCAAGTGCAGATTCACTTTTAGCAGTTCCCCTTTTCTTAAGGCAAGTAGGCCTACCGGTAATTGGTTTTCCCCGGGACCTAATACACAAGATAATATTCTCTGACTGTAGAATGTCACATGCAGAGTCGAGGTAGAAGAGAGTAGACTAACTATACAGCGAAATGGAAGACTCTTTGGTGGAGACAGGGCTGCTGTCTGGCAGCAGGCATAATCTGTGAACATAGCAAAGCTAAGTGCAGGCAGCAAACAGTAGAAATAGCAGGTAATGTAGCAATGGTCAGGGTAGTCAGCAAGCAATACAGAAATTGGTAACATAACAAAGGTCAGAGCAAGCAGTACACAGTAGAGGAATCTGCGAATGTGGCAATAGGTCAGCCACTGGAATAAATGAACAGATTAGTCAGGTGCACTTGATCAAAAGGAAATGCTATTGCAAGATCAAGGTTGCCAAACTTTTAAATAAGTTGTCCTGTGTCATGGACCAGTCCCAAAGCTGGGGGCATGTGGGCAGGCTTGTTACCCCACAGCTGACGAGTAGGTTGGGAAAAGTACAGAGCGGCAGCTAGTAACTGCTGGGAGGGGCTGGAATGCTGCATCCCATTACAAGGCAACCAGGATGCAAGCTGCCACTGGTAGTCAACAGCAGAAAATGAGGAAAGATGTCTTATATCCAGAAAACTGTTTAAAAGTCAACTTAACCATCAAATGTCTGATTTCCAGGCTGTGTTTTCACAGCTGTTATCCAGGAATTGCTAGAGAGCGGTGACATGAGACAGGGAGTGATAAAGATCTTACAAGAGCCTGTATGCACAGGTTAGATGGGATAGCAAGGGAAATGACATGGTTTACTTTAAACATTAAAAGAGAACTATGGGGTAACCTTTTTATCCCATAGTTATCTTTAGGGTCACAGGAGGTGGGGGGATCCCTGCAGGGAGTGGTGACTGGCAGTCACCACTCTCTGCAGGGAGATGATCTGGAAGTGAGCGAGCGACGGTATGTGTTTGCTCACTTCCCGATCTATAGAGTTGATGCGTGACAGTTTCATTGTTACATGTTGGCTCTAACTATGAGGATGAGTGTAAATCACTCACCTCATAGTTTTACTTTAACTGTTCAGCTGCATTTCTTGACATCCACTGGCTATCATTATTAAATTGTGACTAGAAATGTTTTCTTAAGTGCTTTTAAAAACCCATAAACATATTCCTGTTGTGATATAGTTATGTTAACCAGTACAGAACACATAGGAGTCTTTTTCAAGACAATTCACAGGGCCATCTGCACTGTGACTCTCTGTGAACGTTCGTTCTGTGACAATAGAGGCAAAAATGAATATTCTTAGTATATTTTCTTTTCAGGTTGAATGTTATAGAATGTAATGTAATATCACACTATGGCCACTAGATGGAGCTGAGGAAATATTTATTTCCTATGCTCCTCGGGCTCCATCTAGTGGCCATAATAACAAGAACATATACTAAGAACATTTGTTTTTGTGACTCTTCCCTGTGCTATCCAAAATAAATAAATACAGTAATACCTTGGTTTACAAGTAACTTGGTTTGAGAGCGTTTTGCAAGACAAGCAAACATTTCTGAAAAATGTTGCCTTGATATACAAGCGATGTCTTGCAATAAGAGCAAAATTTTGTAGAAAAGCACCACCGGAATAAGGCTGTAGCAGTGCGAGCGATGAGTCTGTTTAAACACAATGCAATGTCACATTGGATAGATTCCTTGTTAAGGTTTCACGAAATTAAAAAGATTCCATTGAGTCAAGAGATAGCAGTGATTCCGTTAGTGATAGTGAAAGTCGTCCTACACAATAATCCTCCTCTCTCTTGTCCCCCTCACACCAGCCACGAAGGTACCGGTAATTGGTTTATTTTTCTTTATATTTTGTACAGTATTATATTACAGTGCAGTATTGTAATCATTTTTATATGAATATTTTTGGGTTGTGGAACGAATTATTTGAATTTTCATTATTTCCTATAGGGAAATTCGCTTTGATATACAAGCGCTTTGGATTACAAGCATGCTTCCGGAACGAATTATGCTCGTAAACCAAGGTGTTACTGTACATAAATAAAAGGTTTTGGCTAGAGTTGAGCATTCATTATCCGTTATCAGCAGTCATTTATCTTCCAGTAGTCCCTAACCCTGTAAAGGATAGCACAACTTCCCTCTGCTATAGTACTGAGTAAAAAAAGGTGAAACCTCCTTGATTTTCTACAATTCTGGGACTTTATTCTAATGCACAGCCATTTGTTTATTCCTATATTTGCTGTTTGCTAGAATGGGGTCTACTAATGATTGCATTAGAATTTCCTCCTACTGTAACTGCTGCATCTACTCTGCTAACCTAAACAAAGCCATTACTACTAAACTATCTATACCACACAGTTCTGTTAATTGTAATACGTAAAGAATAGGGTCCAGGAAGGTATTTCAACTTCAACCCTGCATCAGCGAGAAAATGGAAGAGAGCAACTGTAAAAGGGTCCTCATAATTTGCATCTAAATTGGAAGTAGGGTAATGACTACGAAAGCACAGTGCAAGGATAATAAAGTTATGTAATGATAAGAAAAAAAAAACTGATCCAGTAAAATGTACAGCTTAGTTTCAGTGCAAACAGTAGAGCATCCCTGGACGTTTTATGTGTTCTATACTATTGTATAGAACATCACGACATCTATGGGTTGGGTAGGTGGGTAAAAGATGGTAAAAAGATCATCTAGTTTTTTTCAAAGAAACACAATGTTGATATTCATCTGAACAAACAGGCAAGGAAAGAAAGAGCTGCAGTGTGTTACATTTCTGAAATTACTGAAGCGGACTCCTATATGCACATAAGCTAGCTTGCCTTTGGTGAGAAAATATCAAAGATGTGAAATGATTTGACATGACTGGTCTCCTACCTCCCAGTCTTCAGGATGGCAAGTGATTTTGTGAACTGTGAAATGTGGCAGGTTCTTCTGAAGATAATCGGCAAGAAGCTCTGCTTTGGCATGCTTATAACAACATTACATCTGAATACAGGAATACAGCATCAAACAGGAAACATATAGACAAACATGAATATAGAAAACTAGCATACAGGACACACCATCATCAGGACAGAGCACCTAAGATGTCGGACCATCCAGGCAAATCCAGGACAGTTGACATCTAAGCATGGATGAGTGACAACGCGGGAGCACAATAGGGAGACAGTTGTCGCCCAACAGGAAGTGCCTGAATAATGAGCTTCATGGCAGGATCACCAGGTATACTTTAAATGAAAGGGATATTTAAAAATAACTTTTGAAATGGCATAAACATGTTAGAGTTTATATGAGATTTTTGTGGTTGGCCTTCTGTCTTCTCCAGGGGTGCCTCGAAATTTTGTGATGGTGGGACTCTGATAGGAAGGGGGGCTTCTGATGTGAAAAGAGGGCTCTTATATACCAGGGGGATCTGATGTAAAGAGGGGATTCTGATTTGAAGGGGGGACTTCGATGTAGGGGGAGTAACTATCCAGAAAACAAAAACAAAACCAGAAAAAAAAAGGGTTTTGTTTATACATACACCTAAACGTGCACTATAGACACTGGCAGTAATAGGAGGTGAGTAAGGCTCCCTCTGGTGGCCAGTCAGACTAAATGCTTCGGGATTTGTAGCTAGGTACATGGTGAGCTATAAACTGCAGGAATAAGAGAAGATATGACAAATATGAAGATTGCACATTGACCCCAGAAAACTGGCAGTAAAAACAAGCTGGGATACATTATACATTCTATACCTGCGAGGACGAACTTCGCCATCTCTCCAGTCACAAAGTATACCAGAAGTCCACGCTGGGTTGTTGCCAGGCAACGCTATACAGAGGACCCAGGGGCGGGACATCGTGACGTATGAAGTTCCAATTGTTGACCTGCAGGGGTCGCTGCAGCTGCATCCTATGTTGGGAGTTTTCACAATGCCGTGAGAGCGTTTTGGGCCATCGTGGTTGCCGTAGATGGGGGGAAGTACTGGGGTGACGTGACATGATGGCAGCGTCCTTAGGACAGTCATGATGTTTTGCGGTGTGCTATGAAGGTGAGTGGGAGGCTTTGCAGAAGTACATTGGATTGACCTGGCAGCATTTTTCTGGAAGGCTCACAGTGGTGTAGATGGAGCATGTAACATGTGACACGTGAATGGAGTCCAGGATCATTGTTTTTGTCTTGATTTGAGCTGTCATATGG